CTTTTTAGTTGAAAGTAAATTTTTTTATTAAACTTTTAAAAAATATTTATGAAACAAATTTCTTATATTTAATAAAATGAATCAAACTACTGATGATTATGATTTATTAATAAATAACTAAGTTTATATTTTTGGTAGATGGTAGTTGTTATGGTTATATTATTATATTATTATAGTATTAATTTTAATATATTATTATAATATTAATATAATTTATAATATAAGAATATTTATAATATTACAATAGTTATATTATCATAGTTTTTCTGCAACGCTGATTTTTTTTCGGCGAGTAATGGTTAAGTTAGCCCACCTTGACCCAGAGAAACCCTTCGTATCTTTACTTCCTCGGAAATGATTTTGCACACCCGTCATCGCCTACCTAGAGGTCCGTGTCCCAAAATGACAACGGATTATTGTATTGTCATCCAATACCAAGGTCTATACCAATTTTCAGAATTTTTCATCGTCAAAAAGTGCCTCAAATCGAGCGCGCAAGATTTGATTACAGACAAACAGACGTGAAAGCGCCCTTAAGAAAAGTGTAAAAATAGGTATAATAATAATAAGTATAAAAATGTTATATTTACGAATTTAGGTTTGTTGAGTTTAAATGATCAAACTGTGATTTTAAGTTCAAAATTACTTCCTCGTTGTCAACACGTATGATTGTATCCGTTTTGTATTTCCGTAGGAAAACAAGACCATTTTTTGTCCAAACGAATTGAAAGTGGAGTGATTTTTTGAGGTCTCTTACTTCTTTGAATAGCTTGTTAYTTTTTGTTGTTAAATTTTCTCTAATGTAAATAGGCATATCWRGCTGTATACCAATTTCCTTAGTAGAAAAATTTCTTTTTGATTGTCGAGCTTTAAGTGTATTTATTTTATCTTGGTGATTTATGAATTTAACTATAATTCTTCTGGGACGTGCGTTGTTACGGTTGAAACCAATTCTAYGACAATCATTTATCATTAACACGTTTATATTTGAATTKAATTCTTTACATATTAGTTTAACTAATTGTGTGCAAWCTTCTGTTTTGTTTTCAGGTATTTCATCAATGATAATATCATTTGATATTTGGCGGCGTTCCRTGAATTCAATTTTGTTTTCTAGTTGGATTACATGTATTTTCAAAATATTGTTTTCTGTAATAATCTTATCGATTACATTAAATTTGGCATTTAGGTTATTGAAATTAATGCAGGTATCTTCTTTTAATTTTTGAAATTTATCTTTAAGTTGAAGTATAATTTCTTTTATTTCAATTAGATCAGTGTTACCTGAGTTAACTGGGGTGTCAAGTCGGAGCGASGCTCTTTTGAGGTTAGAGAAACTGCTACATCTCCAAATATTACATCTTCCTTAGAGAGTTTTTGCCATTTGGCGTRCCAAGTCAAATCACAATCAGTACAAGTTACAGACAGGCCGACACAATATTAACGGAGCAGGAGTTGCATAAAGGCATAATAAAATATTRTTTKTGAGAGTTTAAAATAACAACAAAACACATGYAACAGAAAAAATGCGATAAGGGAGAGACGTATACGTATACGTATATTATTACACAACCAAACAGGACGGRGTGCGACTGATAACTGATATATATATATAAAGTATTATACAAATATAAGGTACTTATTAGTTATTATTGTATTAATTTTCACCTTATCAAGAAATTACCATAACTCATTACCCAACTCAACAAGCTCGTTTCACTATAATCTTCATATTCATCCACCACTTCAACGACTTCTGAAACGCGGCCGTCTTCAAGATCTCATTAGTTAAACTTAATCTCCGATCTATAATCTGTATGCGTTTTATTGTTGTTATATAATTTTGTATTTAGTTATTTGTAATCATGTAATTATTTATTTCATTCATCTGTATACATTTGTATAGTTATTAATATTTTTATTAATATTTAACCATCTTTTTAAAATAGCTACAAACTAATATGTTCTCTATATTATCCATAGATATAGATAACCWTAAGCTAGGTATGTTCTTTTATTAATAATAGAAAAAAAAAATGTATTAATTAATTCACTTTAAATAATTAAATACAATATATTTTAGTCATAAAAATAACATTGTAGAATATGTCGGTAATACCGGACGTAGTCAGTCTAATCTAGATCACGTATTTCTAAAATTTACATCAATTACCGTATAAATTAAATCTAATTAATATTAAAATAATAATAATAATAAAGACAATTTACAATAAGCATTACCGTCGTAGGTATAAAATATTTTGGAATAGGCATCACTTATCTTTTAATAAAACTCAATTAAATAGAAAATATGTGAAAATTTAATAATTTTAAAGAATTATATTTTAAGCAACTACTACTTAAAGAATGTTCAAAGAACTGAATTAGTCCCGTTTACGTTACACACAAAAAAAATAAATATATTGGATATTATGCTATCAATTTTATTATGTCAGTYTTATAGCATGCGGGCTTTTAGTGCTTCAAATATTTTAAGATTGCGGTGCTTCAGTGTGCTTGTTTTTTTTGACATTGTGGAGATATAGTACATGTACATTTGCGGATTTATAAACAATATTATATTGGTAATTTATATAGGTTTTCAAATAAAAAATATATAAAATACAATATCTTTTAATGAATTAATGCATACAAATATAAATCCAATCATAATTTAAAAATGAAAAATTTGTCAAAGGACATTCTAAATTTAATTAAGAAATTTAATCACGAGTTAGTATAGATAAAATTAAAACCTTAGATCTACAATAATTTTGTTAAAGGTATTTCACATTAGATAGTTTCCAAACCATAAACATTGTATTCGTAGGTAGTTCACGGAACTTTTCGTTCAGTAGATTAAATTAAACAGACTTGGTGTCGTAAACAGAAAATTAATAGTTTTGCTCCATCTACTTCGTCAAATGTAATAGACATTACAGTACACGATAATTAATCCAAAAAATWTGTAAGGTATTAAAATTTTAATAAATTACAGTAAACTGGTGGAAACCGGAATTATCGTCGGAAATATCATCTATGATAGACAATTTAAATTTACAGACTATATATTATAATAATTGTTCCATCATGGAAAAAAGTTCGTTTGAAATGGAATTTCATATAACCAAGTAAAATAATTGTTGTTATTTAAACTCTGTGTTTGGTGAAAAATTCAAACTATTTTTAGAACTGTAGATGAATATTAAATGAAGTTGGAATATTTTAGTTGGTAACTTATCCACCATAGATTTGGCCCTGAACATTAGGTTATATAATAGTTGWATTTGAGATATTATATGAAAGTACATAATATTACATCGATAATGAAGACGTTTTGAAATCATTTATAACCTATTTTGTGGAAACCTGGATCAAATAAATGTAGAATGAGGGAGATTAGATTTTATATTTCATTGGAAAACTACACTTAACGGCTATTATATATTGTTTTTCCATTTGCACTATATTGAAGGGTAAAATAAAGGCATCAATTGAAACGTCAATAGATTACTTAATTCGAGTCACYWAACAATACGGAAATCCATTCAATAAATTAAAAAGGAACAAGTTCGAAGGAAATTATGTTAAATCAGTACTATAGCTGCTATGATATATATCCATCTAGAAAGTACAAACTGATAACAGTTGTTAAATTTCAGATGTAAGTTATTATTTCAACGATTATTAAGAAAATAGGTAAAAACCTGAATTTCTAAGTACTATTTATTGTATCATCATAATTAAATTAAATTTTATAACCATGTAGCTATCATATAATTTATTAAATATTTATCTTACGTATATTATTTGTAAGTAGTATTAATATTTTATTTTATAATTTTTTTATCGTATAATATTTAATTTTTGGATCATTGTGTGTATTACAGGTATTGAGGTTATAATTATTTTTTTTCTGGTAAACACAAAAAATGAATGTTTGAAAAAAGAATTAATTTTCATTGTTTTGACTGTTAATACATTTCACGATTATTATTATCACTCTCTCTTCTTGGTATTCAACCTTTAAGGTTGGTTTTGCAGTTGGACATGCGCTCTCCACTCTTCCCTGTTCCCTGCTAACCTCTTCAGTTCGGCGTAGCTTGATAGTCTAGCATCGGAAATCATTTGTTTGACAAATGAAGTTCTTGGACGTCCTTGGCCCATTTTGCCTTCTATTATTCTGTAGATTAGCTCATTTTCGTGCCTCAATATGTGACAAATCATGTTCCATCGTCTTGCTCTGATGGTTTTGAGAATCTCTCTGCCTTTTCACTGAGTATGCTTTCGTTGATACGGTGTTCTATCCAACTCACTCTCAGCATCCTTCTCCAACACCACATTTTAAAGCTTTCGAGTGTTCGTTGTTCTGCCTTATTCAGAACCCATGTTTCGCAGCCATWTAGTGCCACACTCCATACATACACTTTAATGAAGCGATTCCTCACTCTAATACTCATGCTATTGGAGGATAACAAATTTTCTTATTCATAAATGCTGACTTCACCTGTGCGATTCTGGATCTTATTTTTATGACACATCTTCCATCTTGGTTGTTTAAACTGCCTAGATATTTAAAATGTTCCACTTGTTCGAGCAGCTGATTTCCTGTTTGGATATTAATTCTACGGATTCTGTCTGATTTTGGCACATCATAACTTTAGTTTTTTGCCAGTTGATAATCAGCTGATATTTTTGGAAGCACCTCGCCATTTCTTCCAGTGTTCTTTCTAAATCATGCTCATTGTTAGCTAGGAGTGCAATATCGTCAGCGAATCTTAAGAAGGATGTTATTTCTCCACCCACTTTTATGCCTATTTTATTTCTGAGAAGTGTTTCTCTAATTTCTTTAATAGGCTGTTCGACGTAAATATTAAAYAAAGTTGGCGAGAGTGTACAACCTTGTCTTACACCCTTCCTAATTATCGCCGTCTCTGTTTTGTCTGTAACTTTTATTATAGCTGATTGGTCTTTGTATAAATTATACATTATCCTTCTATCTTTGTAGTCAGCCCCYATTCCCTCTAAAGTATCGAATAGACCTTTCCATGGTACCTTATCGAAAGCTTTTTTCAAATCTATAAACGTTATAAATGTGTCTTTATTAAATTCTATTTGTTTTTCTATCAATATTCTTAAGCTTAAGATTGCCTCTCTAGTACCTTTGTTCCTTCTGAACCCGAATTAGTCGTCGCTTAACTCTTTTTCTACTATTATTATCACTATTTTATATTATAAAATACAACATTTGCAATTATTAAGAAATCATAAGATCTAAAACAGAAGATGTATTTTTATTTTTCTGTTTAGTAAATTGTAAATGTTGGTAAAATAATTAAAAATGTCAGGGGAAAAATTGTTTTCTCTTCAATATTAACTCGTTAATATTTGAACTTGAAATTTTGAAAAAAAAATATGTATAGGTTAGGGGAGTCATGGGGAGGGTCTCATTATATTAGTCTTGATCTTCCCTATCCATGGCAGTATTAATAAAGTTGATAGCGTAGTTGAAGAAACTTATATTTTGTAAAATAGCTACTACTGTGATTTCTTGTATGGCGTGTTCTGATTGGTTGATATTGTGTAGTCCTGATAAGGACTATTTTAGTAAATGATGTAGGTACTGTTACAAAATGCTACAATAAAATATCGGTGAAAATGTCAAGCGTGTTATTCATTTATTAG